GCCTACTGTGTGTGAGGATAGCCACAGCCATGTGGGCCTACTGTGTGTGTGAGGACAGCCAGAGCCACGTGGGCCTACTGAGTGTGTGAGGACAGCCAGAGCCATTCCTCCGTATTTAGTGCCATTTCTGTTACGTCTTTTTGGAGATCCTTCCTCATGTTTTCCCATAACTGTATGAGGTTTATCCAGGGATCCTCGTACATTGCCTTGGAACCCGGCTGGATGTTCAGTCAGGGCCAAGCTCCTTTTCCTTGCGCAGTACCTTTCTGGTTTGAGACACGTCCCAGGGCTGGGTCCTTGGCTCCCCCCCAAGGTCCAGCGGCTGTTGCAGGAGCTCCCCTCCGTCCGGCCTCTGCCATGATGGCCCTGGGCTGGCTGATCACGCCCCTTCGGCTCCACACCTTCTGTCCTTCCGCCACCTTGGGGGCGCCCCGTCTGCTGGCCTTGTCTCTGACAGGCGTCTTGTTCCCTTCTCAACAGAGATCTTGCAGCTGGCTCACTTGGCCGGGAAGCAGTCACGAAACGTCTTCACGGCCGCGTCTTGTATGCGAGGCGACGGGGACATCTCCAACCCTGCCGTGGGCTTCAAGTCCCACCTCGTTCGCTTGATTGGGAACCTGTGCTACAAGAATGGGAAAAACCAAGACAAGGTAGGCTCGCCTGGGGCCAGGCATGTCCTGGAGGCCGCAGAGGGCGGCTGCGCATTTGTCTCGGAGTCTTAGTGCCCGTACCTGGCTTTAGCCGTGTGCCCGAGGGGGTGGCCCAGAGTGGGAGCCAGAGGACTGAGGGCTGACGTCGGACGTTCCCTTCCCCTCTCTGGGCCTCACAATGGACAGAGGAGACCCCCCGAGCTTCCTCCGGGCCCTGCATCTGGGGCTTTCCCAGGGGCTCTGCCTGCCAGGGAGTGCGCTGGCTGCCATGACAGCATTGGCGCAGGGACCTCCCAGTGGGACAGCTCCCTCGGCCAGTGCCCGGTAGCACCTGCTGTGTGGCCAAATCCTCTGGGAGAGTTCTCTGGGCACCCAGTGGGTTCTCCTAGCCAGGGTGTGTCGGAGAGAATGCACCCAGGTGCCTTTTGCACTTTTCTTCCGATAGTACTGCTTGGGCCCACAACCACAGGGTTCTGCCCCACTGGGACTCTGGGAAAGCCTCCCCAGCTGGACCCTCCTCCTGAGCCCAGGAGCAGCCAGGGCCTGGAGGCACGTGGGAGGGACAGCCGGCCCACCCATGACTGATGCACAATCGCGGTCATTGGGTTTGCTCCTGGCTGGATCTCAGTGTCCCCCCTTGTTGGTAGGGATGAGGCCCCCGGCCTCCAACAGAGGACATAGACACAGCTCAGCAGCCAAGGCTGGAGGGGCCGTGATCTGTATCAGTGGAGGGCAGGCTGACACTGAGGAGGTCACAGAGTTGCTAGCCCTGGGGCTGAGGGAGGCTTCGCTGAACTGACAGTCATTGTTTGCTCAGTTGCAACATGTCTCAATTCATCCATTTACTCTTGGCACTTACTGACTGCCCAGCCTCGGGCAAGGCTCTTGCCCTCTCTGGGCCTCTGCAGAGTCAGGGTCACGGTCATTGGGCTCCCCAAAGGCAGGCTGCAGCCAGACTGGCGGTTGGTGTCTTCTGGAATTTCCCTGTCCACCAGGGCATGGTGGCTACGGTAGGGCTGAATCAGGCGTCGGTGGGCAGTGGCCTCCTAAGTCATCCCTCCCGTAGCCTATGATGAGTGTCCCGAGGCCTTGGGAGCCCAGCCATGACCACAGAGGCTGCCCCTGCTGCCTGAGGGCCTTAACAGCCTTCTGGGCCCAGAGCATCACCGAAGAAACACGGTGGAAGGCAGGGAGAGTGAGGGAGATCCGGGGAGAGGAGGAAAAGGAGCAGTCAGATGGAGGGGTCCAGGAGGTCTCTTGTGTGTGTGTGTGTGCTCGTGAGAGTATGTGAGTGTGCGTGTGTGTGCATATGTGTATGAGTGTGAGAGTCCATGTGTATGTATGTGTGCGTGCATGTGTAAATGAGCGTATGTATGTGTGTGCATGTGTAAATGAGCGTGTAGGTATGTGTGTACATGTGCTCATGAGAGTATTGCGTGTGCATGTGTGTGTATGTGTGCAACATGCTTCTGAGAGTATGAGTGTGTGTGTGTGCAAATGAGCATATGTGAGTGTGGGAGTGCATGTGTGTGTGTATGTGTGCACGCGTGCTCATGAGAGTATGAGTGTGCATGTGTGTGTATATATGCAACGTGCTCCTGAGAGCATGAGTGTGCATGTGTGCTTGTGCAAATGAGCATATGTGAATGAGTGTGTGTGTGCGTGTGTGTGTATAGGTGGGTGTAAGTGCATGGGAGCATGTGCACGAGCACATGTGAGTGTGTATGTGTGAGTGTACGTGTGAGAGTGTGAGGGCGTGTGCTGCTGTGGATTGTGACTATACAAATGTGGCGTCACGGTCGTGTACAAGCGAGTGTGCGTAGGAGTGCATTTGAGAGCACGTGTGGACAGGAGCGTGCAGGGGCAGGGGTTCTGAGCCCTGCTGGCGATTTCAGGCTGAGCATCTGGAGGCTGCGGCCTGCACTTCCTCTCTGCCCTGCCCTGGGCGTCTGGGGCCAGGCACGGCTGCCCCGAGGGTGGGCTCCGTCTGCTCGTGTGCCTCTGGGCCACCCACCTTGGTTGGTGGGGGTTGGCAGCCGTCCTCATAAACGGTCTTGGTCAAGGGAAGGCTAGCTGCCCTCCAGCGGGGAGAGGTTTAGAGTCAGGGGTTGGGTGCGACGCTGGCAGACTCCGGAGGTAGTGAGCTCTCCATCTCTGGAGCCTTTCAGAGCAGCTGGGGGAAGCAGACGTCGGCTCAGACAAGATTCCCTCTGGCCAGGTGCCTCCTCGGGGGCTGTGCAGCCGGTCCTCGGCCAGCTCCCCTGGTGCCGGCAGGCGGGGGTGAGGGGGTGGCTTCTCTCTGAGCTGGTGCGCTCTGTCTCTGTTGGACCTCAGGCTCTTCCTCTGTCAGAGCCTCAGCTTATCGCTTGGGAGGCTGGATGTACAGGCATGATTTGGCTTGCTGCAAATTCCATTTCTTTGTCATGTAATCCTAGTTCAAGAAGTATGTTAGAATTCATAAATCAAGCTGTCACCGTGTGTCTCCTTACCTCACAGTTCCTGTTACAGTAAATGAAATTAAAATTCCTGTCCAGAGGACATGGACCACGGCTGGCTGCGTTGCCCCTCGGGGGTGAGGCTGCTCTCTGCCCTGCTGGGTCGGGGTGGCCCCGGCCGGCTCCTCCCCCCGACGGGCTGGGGCCGTCCCCTGGGCTGCCCCGGCCAGCTCCCTGCCCTCATGGGCTCGGGCTGTCCCCGGGCCGCCTCGGCATGGCTCCCCGCTGGGGAGAGCCCCGCGCTGCCCAAATTCTTTGGTGGTCGTGGAGCAGCGTCGTCCAGGATGAGTCGTGGCGTCTCCACTGGCAGAGCGGGGGTGGCAGTTTCTGGGTTGTCTTGCGTATTCCTGCCATCCGGTTTGGAGCTGAGGCAGTCTGCTGGATGCTCACATTGGTCAGAGCCATAATCTATCTCCATTTTTCAGATGGGGAGACTGAGACACTGGACAGAGGATTTGCCCAGAATCTCTTAGAAATGCCCCCCACCCTCCGGTGGGCCTTGGGCTGCTGCTGCCCCTTCCTGTGGCGCCTCCTTTGTAGTCAGCAGAGGCTTTCCATCCAACAGGCCAGTCGAGCTTGGGGTAGAATCCTTGTTATCTCCAGGTTCCAGATGGGTCAGTACATAGCAGAGCTCAGCCTCGAACCCAGGTCTTTGCAGGCAGCATGCTGCGTTGGGGAGAGAAGCAGCTTCCGCCCAGCCAACAGTGGTGGGTAGCTGGTGAGTCACTGCATGGACTAGCGGGGATACTTCACCTTCAGGAGGTCCCATCACCGGTCAGTGGCACAGCCCATAGGAGGGCAGAGGAAAGATGCCGGCCATGGGACCCTGGGTACCGCGTCCCCGATGCAAGGCCCGGTCACTCTCCATGGGCCGGGGTGGCAGGCTCAGTGCTGGCCCATTCGCTGGTCAGGAGGAGGAGGTGCTGGAGCAGGGGCCTGGGCCTGTCTGGGGAGAGGTCTGTCCTTGGGCGTGAGCCCTGGAGCCGTGGCAAGTGCCGTTCAGGGGGCGCTGGCCGGGCCCAGGAGCGTTTCCCCCCTCTCCAGATGCTGAAAGCCTCTGACGGGTTGTCGGGCTCCTCCGCGGCTGGGAAGAGGGGCCCGTCTTCTTCAGGAATGCTGCAGTGGATGGACGACAGAGCTATCCGTCAGCCACCCAAACCGCTTTGATCTTGGCGCACCCTTGGCATTCTGCTAGCGGCAGCCACAGTGAGGCTGATCAGAGGGGCCCCAGACGAGGGCTTTTTATTTTTCATTAACAATTAAAGTTGCTGCTTTAAGAAACCTAGCTAGCTGGTCTTGCTCTGCTGCAACTTAATTTTGTGTAGAGGAGGCTCCTCCAGAGTGTGGTCTGAGCAAGGGAGCAGGTGAGAGAGCGAGGGCTTCTCAGGCTCCTGCTATGGATCTGCAAGAGAGCATGTGAGCAAGAGAGCGCGTGTGCAAGAGGG